CAGAGATGGTCAATTTCGAGAAGGCACAGGCTCCTCAGTGATTTGTCAAACACAGAGCAGGGGCCAAAGGCTCTGGGCCAAGAGCGCCATGGTTGCCTGGTACCAAGGCTTAACGAGGTCAAAAGGTGAGAAACCACGAGAGTCCAGAGTCCTCACTGGTGGGAAATGCCAGTGTTGGGTGGAGAGGCCCAGTGATCTGTGGGAGAAGTGAGGCTATTGTATGTGGACCTCAGACTCTCAGTGGGCAGCAGGAAGAAGAGTCAGGAGAGCCTTCCAGGTCAGGGAGCCTACTAAATAACTCAGTCTGCATGAATATTGCATGCTTCAGCCATTTCCAGTAAAAAATGTGTCCCATGAATAAAGTGGTCTTTTCTTCATAACTCAGTGGCACAAAGTGGCTTTACTGCAGACTTTGTTAAAATACCACTTTGCCATTTAATCACAGAGAACATTAAGAAAAAAATCTTAGCCCAACGGTGGTGGCACATGCCTTTAATCCCAGCACTTGTGAGGCAGAGGTAGATGGATTCTGTGACTTTGAGGCCAGCCTGGACTACAAAGCTAGTTCCAAGACAGCCAGGGCTACAGAGAGAAACCCTGTCTTGAAAAAAGAAAACAAAACAAAACAAAAAAAACAATCTCCAGACTAGTGTGGAGTCACATGTTTAAAATTTGGGCAGCTGATGCTGGAGGATCACAAGTTGGAGATCAGTTTTCAGTACACACTGAGCCCTGCCTCAAATAAACAAAAATATAAGCCAACACAACAGGATATATGGTGAACATTCACTTACTTTATTTACTTGTGTGCACCTGCGTGCATGGTGGAAGTCACGTGCTTTCTGGGGAAAGAACTCAATTGTCAGGCTCAGCACTCACTGGTAGGCCCTAACAACCTCCTTTTCTTTCCCCAAATACTTAAGTTTGTTTTCCAAGGATGGCTACTGTTGTTCAGCTGCTTACAAATTTTTCCAGTACCACTTCACAAACACTACATATGCAAATGTAATCTCTCCTGGCATATAAATGGTAATATATTGATATGAATTGCATTGCATAGTGTTTGTTATAGGTTGGGCATCAAGTATCTCCCTGAAACCATGCATGTTTCGAACATCTGGTCCCCCAATCAGTGGACCCAAGCATTGAGTGGCAGCTGGATCATGAGGGCTTTGACCTAATCAATATATTGATGCATTGATGGATTCATAATTTCATGCTATTATTGAGGAGCTGATAGACATTTTTTAAGGAGGTCCTAGAGGAAGTAGTTTACTAGGGACAGATCTAGGGGCTGGTGAGATGTTTCAGCAGGGAGTTGCTTGTTGTAGTAGAAATATCAAATGGGTCTTTTTCTATCAAACTCTAAAACTTGTGTTTAAAACAAGGAGTCCAAGTGTTTTTATCACTTCTCCCACCTTGTAAGACTTTAAGCAAATATTGTAATCCCTCCTTTGCTTACACAAAGGTCCAAGGTTTGCAGTATCCCCGGAATCCGATGACCTAGAGCAGTGACCTCTTTCACTCTCTTTCTTTCGCTTCCCTTCATTTCCTGCACACCAATTCCTTTTATACCAATTACATCAAGACTGGGAGGTGGGAGCCAGCCAGCCCTTGAGGAAAAGGCACAGTCACTACCTGAGTGAGAGGAAACACCAAATGCACTTCCTGTCTCAGTGTGTTTTTCCTTCTGAGCACACCTTATCGGTCAGGAGTAAAGTTGGCCTTGTGCAGACACTGCAGTTGGAATGGTGGGCTCTTTTCTCAACCCTGAGGTTATTTCTAACACTGCCAACCTGATGACCTGAGCTCAATCCCTGGAACCGAATGGTGAAAGAACTGACTCCCAACAACCTTCACACATATGCCATGACTTCTCCCTCCCCCCACATCTTAAGTTCTTTCTTTAGGAATATATATATATTTTTCAAGGTTAGCATAGCCTTGGCTGTGAGGGAACTCTGTAGACCAGGATGGCCTCAAACTCAGAGATCCACATGTCTCTGCCTCCTGAGTGCTTGGAATTAAAAGCACCTTTAATATAGGCATCACTTCTGCCTGGATTCTTTTGTAATAATTAAAAAAAAAAACCTTCTTAAGTGAAGGTCTTGATAATACTGGGATTATCCTTTGGGTTTTTTTTTTAAATATTTATTTATTTATTTATTATGTATACAATATTCTGTCTGTGTGTATGTCTGCAGGCCAGAAGAGGGCACCAGACCTCATTACAGATGGTTGTGAGCCACCATGTGGTTGCCGGGAATTGAACTCAGGACCTTTGGAAGAACAAGCAATGCTCTAAACCACTGAGCCATCTCTCCAGCCCTATCCTTTGGGTTTTTAGTCTCATTAATAAAAGAACTTAAGGATGGACTCAAATGGAAATAAAGATAATTAAAACAAAAATGCATGTCTTTAATCCCTGCACTCAGGAGGTGGATCTTTTCCTCTCTCTCTCTTTCTTTTAGCTTTTCCAGACAGGCTGTCTCTGTGAAACACTCCTACCTGTCCTGGAACTTGCTCTGTAGACCAGTCTGGCCTCAGACTCACAGAAATCTGCCTGCCTTTGCCTCCCGAGTACTGGGATTAAAAGCATGCATCACCACCACCTGGCACGAGATGGGTCTTTTCTGAGGTCAGCCTGGTCTACCACTAGGCTCCAGGCTTGCCAAAGCTCCAGTGAGACCCTTTCTCAAGAACAAACAGATAAAGAAAATAAAAACCCAAGCCAGGTGAGCTCTACACTTCAGCAGTTAGCTGGAGGAGATGGGGAGGGGAGGAAGCCATTTAAGGTGACATAAAGGTCAGACACATGAAAAATAAACAGTCATACAGTGAGAAGCTGTATAGAAAGAGTTAAGGAAGCCCAAAATGCTGGGGAGAAAAGCCCAAGCATTAAGGAAAAGCATGCTTAGCAAACAGTAAAAGTAAACTTTTCTGAGTAATTCAGAAATGTGGGCAGACTGACAACCATACAAAGCTCAGATGCTGAGCTGCACTAGGGGCGGAGACTCTGGGAAGGAAAAGTACAGCATATCATTAAAGAACTAATCATGCCATCTCTCTCTTTAGTAGGCAGAAGGTGGTCCCTTAGCTGATTCAACTAGCCCAGCTGGACCGGCGGGGTGGGTCTCCACCCAGACCAGAGATACCATTCTCTTGATCAGATGTTTTTCTTCCTCTAGGCTGACCTCTGGCCCTAGCTTCCCAAGTAGTTGGGGTTCTGGGAGTAAGGCGCCAAGCCCAGTTCAGAATGACTGCCTTACAGATAAGCTGCAAAGATAGTAGAGATTTCTGTATGTTCTTTACTCACCTTCTGGTAATGCGAACATTGTAAATTACTGCGGAGCATTGCCAAAACTAAGACATCAACACTGCTATGAGCCTACTCATGAAGTAATTCAGGTATCACCAGCTACATCCTTTCAGCTCTCTAGAATGTTGTTAAGGTGTTATTCTATTAGAATGAATTCCAAAAGTGGGATTTGCCGTCAAATAATTACTTGCACTAAAAAATTCATAAACCTGAGCCTTGTGTGGTGGTGTCTGTCCATAGTCTGAGCCTTAGGGAGGCCGAGTCAGAAAACTTTCAGTTGGTGGTCGGCCTGGGTTGTATAATGAGAGCCTGCCTAAGCATAAACACACACCACAACCTGGCTGGGCCACAGGCCGTTCGCAGCGCACATACTCGGCACGCACAGTCCGCAGCGCGCATACTCGGCACGCACAGTCCGCAGGGCACACACTCGGCACGCACAGTCCGCAGGGCACACACTCGGCACGCACAGTCCGCAGGGCACATACTCGGCATGCACAGGCCCTGGGGTCAAGCTTCGGCACAGAAGAAGCATTACCGACTCCCTATCTTTCAAAGAAATTATCAGACCTTTCTAACTTGTTCTCTGTTGGATTATTGTTAAGTTTCTTGAGGTTAGGCAGAGTGCGATAAAAAGTATTTTAAGTCGTGTGGGCACAAATATCTACAATATTCTTAGGTTTCTATCATGGCAAAAATTCTTTGTAGTGTTTAGTTCTAACAGTTGAGCTCCCTTAAAACCACTAGGGGGCTCTGCTACAAGTTTTTATAATTTATGTCTACTCAGGGAAATGTTTTGAGATGTTTCAGAATTTTGGATTCTTTGAAGTCTAAACAACCTTCTTATTTCACAGATGAGGAAATCGTAGCTGACAACGGAGGTGGCATAGGACAGAAGGGGGAGTAAAAAATCCTCTCGGCTCCTGTAGCACTCTTAAGACTGGTCTCGAACTCATGATCTTTCTGCTTCTGACTCCGAGTTCTGGAATTACAAGTGTGTACCACCATACTCAGCTTGTATTAGTCTTAGAATATTCAACTGATTGATTAGGTGAAGAAATACATGAAACATACTAAAATAACACTTTCATTATCTCTAAATGTTATTTTCAAAGTACTTCTCGGTATTAGCTACTTTCAAATAGCCTTTCAAGATTATTGTTCACTTAAAACATTTTACTCGTTTATCTTCTTCTCCATTCAATTATACTTACTCACTGCTTATTGAAACCTACCAGTGCCGAACACCTTTGTAGGTCTAACGCTCCTTCTTCCTCCTAAGGAGTGTCTCTTTCTCCAACTTCCACTATAATATATATAGAGATTTTCATATGCTTAATTCAGCCGTTCTCGCTGAAAAACAGGTAGCCAGGATTCTTGCTAAGAATGCAAATTCTTAGGCCCATCCACACTCTAGGGATAGGGCCTAGCAATCTAACAAGCTCTCCGGGGATCCTGAAGACATTCAAGTTTGAAAAACACGTTAGTTCTCCAAACAGGCTAAAGATTTTCTGGCTTTTAAACCAACCACGGGCCTCTCCCTGGCAATACCTGGACCAAGTACAAGCCGTGGGATCCAACCATTACACAACCTCAAGGTCTCTGTAATACCTGCGATGACCGAATAATAGCTGCGTTATCATGGTTCCAGAACAAAAGCAACGGCAGCAGGGGGGTTTACCAACGGACGGCAGGATAGGACCGAGTTCCTGCACAGCTTTTTTCCTCGGCTAGACACAGGGAGGCACCTCCAGCCCGTGGGCTCTGGGTCTGGCAGAGTTAGAGCGGGGCTCAGGCCGGGTGGGGCTCCGGGCCTCCGGGCCAAAGGGGCAGGGGAGGGCTCGCCAGGCCCAGACCCCACTGACCGGGCGCGGAAACCGCACCCTCCTTGCCCCAGACGCCGGCAGGGCGGAGCCACGCGGCCGAAGCCCCGGCACAGACGCGCGGCGCGGCGCGCGGGCCCGGGCTCGCTGCTGAGACGTATGGGGCTACCACTGGAGCGGCTGCGCCGCCCGCCCGGGTCAGCGTGGTGCGCATGCGCGGACCCGGCGCCATTTTGGTGGCCGGGCGCGGAGGTGATTTTACACTGAGGGGGGAACGCGGCGGCTAGGGTGGCAGTGGCAGCGTTCGTGTGCTCGGGTCTGAATCACTGAGGGAGGAGGCGGTGGAGGAAGAGGTGGCGGCGGTGGCGGTGGTCGTAGCGGTGGCGGAGGAGGCGGGTACGAATCAGCTGCGGGCAGAGACATGGCCAACATCGCGGTGCAGCGAATCAAGCGGGAGTTCAAGGAGGTGCTGAAGAGCGAGGAGGTCAGAAATGAGCTACCGGACACCCCCATGTCAGCCCGGGGCGGGAGGGCCCTTCCTTCCGCGACCCCGGCGGCCCCGGCCGGCCTCGCTGCGGCCGCCGCTGCCGATGGGGAAGCGGCGGTCTCCCCTCCTCCTCCTGCCGCCTTTCCCTCCCCTCCCGGGGCCCTGGGATAGACGGGCTCGCGGGCGGCTGGGCGGCCTGGGGAGGACCAGGGTTTGGGGGGCAGATGCAGAAGCACTTGTCGGGGACACGTGAGCTCTGGAGAGAGAGCCCCGAGGCGGCGGCAACATCTGGATGTGTGACTCCGGGGTGGGGAAGGAGCAGGCCGAGAAAACCCGGGAAGTGGGTTGGGGGAAGGGGGGCGAGAGTAACTAGATCCCCGGCAGCAGCGCACCTCCTAGGCCCCCACTTTTAGGGGGGACCCTGGGTATTACCTGCCAGGGCTTTGCTGTCTTTTCTTTGAGGACGGCGCCTACAGAGTCCTTAGGCATGGAGGAAAAGAAGACATTCAATTACTCCCTTATAGTAGACTGTTGGGGGCCCCATGGAGACATAATGGTCAGTATCGTATTTGGAAGGGGCGTTGAAGCATTTTTCACTACATCTAGGAAATTAAATTAGTTACCTGTTTTCCACATACTCCACCAGTACCTACGCCTCAGCATTGACAATGTAAAGCGCTTTGTGTGGTGAAAGGCAAGTTGTTTATGTTAAATGATTTGGTCTAGGGAAAATAATGAAGTGGACGAGTGGCTTATTTCAAAATAGTGTTTAACAGTATCAGAGTTTCTCCTAGGGCAATGCCGCTGTGACTAGTGTCCTGTGAAACCTCATTGCGATGTCCCTCGTACTTGTCTTAACTTTTGAAAAGAGCCCTAGTAAAAACAAGCGATTTCTTCAGATGCACATTGTTGGAGCTCATTATTGAGTTAGGTTTGTTTTGACACAAAATAGCATACCACGAAATAGCTTATTAAAAAATAAGACTTTTGCTACCCGTGAGTCCTTCAGAATTTAAATACATTAATACTGGCCAGACATATGTGGAATATAGAAAGTGATTTAATAATTTGACTTAGCTGTGCAAGTAATAGTACAACTTTTCAGACCCGAGTGAACAAAAATGCCAGATTTTCTGTTTGTATTTAGCAAGAAAATTCTGGAAATAGTTGTTTTTCCTCAAGGTTCACATTCCATTGTCCAATAAGTAGTGCTATTTATGTTTTTCTTATATGCTTGATATTTTAATAATGTCAATAATGATTTTTAAAATTAGGCATTTTAAGTATATGAGTAATTGTTAAAAATCTTTTAGCGCTCCAGCATTATTGTGTCAGAGTCTGCAAATATCTTTCCAAGTAGACATGTAGAAAGTTACTCAAAATTGAAGTGATATATTAGCAGACTTAGTGAACAGACTAAGAAATAATAAGTAGTGATCCGTCTTACAAAGCATGAACTCTGACCTCTGTATTCATTTGCCAAAACTAAATGGAAGGATGACTTTGTATTTTTGTGGAACAATGAAGAAACAGTGTGAATGTCTGTATTCACATATTCACAAATTTTAACATTAATTTTAACTTTTTCTTTAATAAGCAAATGTACTTTGGGATTGTAGATAAATATTCTTAATGAAAGATAAGAGAATATTTTGTTAGCACCCTAAAACAGTAAGATTAGACAAGTCTTTAGACCTCTAACGCTTCTTTTAAAAGCCTTGAAAATCCATATATCTGCTTTATGTGATGTGACTTTCTATTTAAGTGATGGACTGAGGAGATGGCTCCGTGGGTAAAGGAGGCTTGCTGCCAAGCCTGAGGACCTGAGTTCAGGCCTGAGGACCCACATGACCTCTATACCCACACATGAAATACAATAAAAGCTTTTCTAATGTATGAAATTAAAGAAAATTGTCAGTTTTTCTAAGGAACACAAGTTATCCAGGAACAGTGCCTCTGTAAACGTAGCAGGAACTTAATCCAGGAAAGTAAGCTGCAAAGAATACTAGTGAAAGATCAGATAAAATTTAATATCGTAAGCTGGGCATGATGGCATGCGCCATTAATTCCAGCACTGGGAGGCCGAGGCAGGTGGATCTCCGTGAGTTGGAGGCCAGGCTGGTCTACAGAGTGAGTTCCAGAACAGCCATGGCTGTTACACAGAAAAACCCTGTCTCAAAAAAAACCAAAACAAAAAAATCATTTAATAATGTAAAAAAGCTCAACCAACAGATAGTTTTATCCTTAACCAATATTTAGTTCATACATTATTATGTCCAGTTCCATAGGTAGGCTGTGTTAATTAATTTTCACCTCAATAAGGACCCATAGTGCAGTCTATATATTTTCTTTTTTAAGAATATAAATGTAATTTTTAAATAGCTAATCAAGTAATTGTTTCAGCATATCACCTCATGTAAATCTTCAGTGTACCAGGTTTGATTCATGTGCTAGCGTTTAAGAATTTTGGTGGATCTAATGACTTACTTTTGATCTGTTTCTAAGTACTTTGTAAAGATAACTACAGAGCATGCCTTTAGTCTCAGTGCTGGGGTTGGGGGAGGGGTGCAGAGGGGTGGTGGGCAAAAGCAGTGAGTTCTAGCCAGTATGGCCAGGGATACAGAGAGAGATTGTGTCTCAAAAAATACAAGTAAAGATAGCTGCCATTCACTGAATTCTGATCATAGGAATTTGCTGAATGTATTAGTTAAAATATAAGCATTTAACATAAATGTGAAAGACCTAGCCAGGTATTGTGGAGAGGCACTCACATTTGTATTGAAAGGGGAGATGTGTGTTTGCCAGTACAGTGCAGAGAAGGATTTATGAGAAGTAGGTAAAACTGGGAAGTTGCATGACTGGGCACTTTGAACTTTGAGTCATGTGCATGGTCCTTAATGAAATAAAGGTGGCATCTATTTTTTCATAAAGTACTATTTGGAGATGGGCCTTTTATCTTTTAAATACTCTAGAATATGACTGATTTTAAGTAGTGGTTGAGCGTTGCTCAGAATTAAAATTTACCTAGAATATATTACAGTTTATGAGTCAAGTCAGGTGGATTGCTACTTGTGATGATGATCAACAGATTAAGCCTTTCTTTAGTATATTCATGGGTTGTATTGCTACCAATTACTGCTGCTGCCATTTGCAACATTCCTCTTCTATTGTTTATGTATTACTGCTAATTCTTAGCAATAGGTCTTTGAAGTAGATATATTTTTTTAGGTGAGAAAATTGAGGTTCAGAGACGTTAAATTGTCTGCAAACATGACTTTAGAATTTGGGTTTGCTTATGTTAATATGCACTACACTGTCATGGCTTGGTAAGGATAGATGTACTTTTAATTATCAAAATTGGGCCTACATTTTTATTACAGTACTTTGTATTACTTGTTAAAGCATTTAAGCACTAGTTAATGTTAGTATAAACTCATTGGTACCCTATAATTTAAAGGTTAACTTGAATTTCAAAATAAAATATTTTTAAATTTGCAGTTCAGTGATATAAAGTGCCCTTAAATAAGTGTATAAATTGGTTTATATTTATGCTCATATCTGCCACTTTTTTAATACATAATTCTTAGCTATAGTTTGCTGACATTTTCTTGTATTCTCAAAGGGAATGTTTACTGTGGTATAAACAAAGTTGTTTCATTTTTTTTGTTGTCTACTGTTTTTTTTTAGCATTTATTCTTTCATAATAAGTTTAAAATTTATGAATTACTAGAGTTGATCTAGCTTGGCCTTGATTATCTTATATGCAAGTAGCTTGCAAACTTATGAAAGAATATGTTTTGATTTTTGTAGGACATAGTTTCTTTTTCTTTTTGTTAGTTCTTTTTTGTCTTTCTTTTCTTTCTTTTCTTTTTTTAAGGCAGAAACTCTCCTCTCTGCAGTCCTGGCTGCTCTGGAACTCACTGCTTAGACCATCCTGGTGTCAACTCCCAGAGCTCCATTTGCCTCTTCCTCCTGAATTCTGGGATGAAAGGCATGGGCCACCATACCTCTCTAAGGCATAGTTTCTTAACACTAGAATTAATGACATTTTGAGCAGTTTTTTGTTTTTTTAAATTGTAACTGGGTCTCCAGTGCATCATAAGGTGTGCATGAGTATCTCCAGTGTCTAACACTGGTGCTCTTACTGCTGCTAAACCTACTACCCTTGTCAGTAGTGTCTAGTAAATGTCTCTCGACTGCCAGTTGGTAAGACCTACTACTGTAGACAGAACTCCTTTTGAAGAACTTATAAGACTGTCACTATGTAAGGTGTGTAGTGTTTATCCAAAGATTGGTTGAATCTTTTGTCTTTAGAACAAAAGATTGTTTGTTTTCCCCTTTAATTCTTTCCCCTTCCTTTACACTCTTCTGTGTGTGTGTGTGTGTGTGTGTGTGAGTTAATGTAGGTAAGTGCTTTACCACTGCGCTATATCCTACCTTGTCTCCATTTTGATTTAAAGAAAAAGGTAAAGTTATCTATAAGAAACGTAACTAGAGTTTGAAAAAATTTTAACAGATTTTTTTATGTTTAGTAGGTAAGTGCTCCACTACTGAATATATATACCTGAGGTCCAACAATTTTTAAGAGTAGATTTTTATTTTTCAGTTTTTCAAGACAAGGTTTGTGTAGCCTTGGCTGTCCTGGAACTCACTCTGTAGACTAGGCTGGCCTCGAACTTAGATACATCTGCCTCTGCCTCCTGAGCGCTGGAACTAAAGACCTTTGCCACCACTGCTCAGCAAGAATAGAATTTTTCTTCAGTTACATAAGCTCCAGTTTTGTGTGGATTGTTTAGTATGCCTTATGAGGTTCTGGAGAGAACTGAACTTAGCAGCCTTACAGAGTACTTTAAAAAACAAAAGCCGGTACAAATGATATTGTTGGATTACATTTCTTGTTTTACTTTACCCTTCTTTTAGTTTTTGTTTTGTCTTCCCAAGCCCTCAAGACACGGTTTCTTTGTTTAGCCTTGACTGTCCTAGAGTTCTGTAGATCA